TTCCTTCCTTCCTTCCTTCCTTTCCTCTTTCCTTCCTTCCTTTCCTTTCCTTCCTTCCTTCCTTCCTTTCCTTCCTTCCTTCCTTCCTTTCCTCTTTCCTTCCTTCCCTTCCTCTTTCCTTCCTTCCTTTCCTCTTTCCTTCCTCCTTTCCTCTTTCCTTCCTTCCTTCCTTCCTCTAGGAGGAGTCTTCTTCCCGTCGTTCCGTAGCTGAACTTGCAGGAAGGTTCAAAAGTTCAACTCCTCCAGTCAACGCTGCTAAAGATCAAACAGTGAGAAAAAGAAATATTTGAACACGAAAATTATTTAAAAAAAAACTTCATTAACGACGTCAGTTAAAAAGTAAATGTGTGTGTGTGTGTGTGTGTGTGTTTTTAAGGAAACGCCGGTGAGACGACGACCGCCGCGTTCACTCCAACTGCCCAAAACAGAAGATGAGGAGGAGGTGAGGGGCGGAGCTTAAACGATCACGTCACTGATCAGGAAACGACTTTGTTTGGATTATATTGTTGTGTGTGTTTGACCGTGTGTGTGTTGGTGTGTGTGTGTGTGCGTGTGCTCAGGCTCCAGGTGTCACGTCACCACTTCCTGCCAAAACCAAGAGGAACTCTGCTCTTATTGAGAAGCTTCAGGTGAGGCCCGCTGCTCTCTGCCGCCCTCTGCTGATACAACGTCACTCCACCGTCTCCCTCTCTCCCTCTGTTCAGGCCTCTCTTGCCCTCTCTCCCTCACCACAGCCCTCACCAAAGAGTCCAGGTTTCCGATTGTTCCCCCCAGCGTTCCCTCCGACCTCCCCAGGCTCCTCCTCTGTGACCGCGGCATCGCCGGACGACGACAGCCCTGTCCTCGCCTCCCCGTTAACTGAGGAGGAGGGGCCTGTTTCCTTTGAAGCCCCGCCCACCGTGGCAGAGGGTTCCACCCTGTCCAACATCAACAAGGTGAGCCGAGGTCAAAGGTCAACTCTGAAGGAGCAGAGAACCATCAAGAAGAAGAGACTAACCTCCCACTTTCTTCTTCTCCAGAGCCGAGCTCGTCACTCCATTCGCAGACGTCCTCCTTCGCGCCGTCACAGGAAGTCCAGCGGTGGCGAGGAGGTGTTCTCCACTAACGACGATGCGGACCAAAGACCAGAAGAAGGAACCAAGCGGCAGGAACCAGAGGTTCTCCAGACCGAAGACCAAAAGGAGGATTTGGTTTGTCCTGAACCAACACCGAGCTGCAGAGAAGACGAGACGAAGACGGAGTCCAGAGAAGGAGAGGGGGAGGAGGAGGACACATCTACGTCAGTACCAGAGGAGGAGAAGAGGAGAGGAGAGGAGGTGAGAGGAGAGGAGGTCAGGTGTGGTGGAGAAACACAACAACAAGTGGACCAGACTGAAGACGAGACGAAGGAGGTGAGTGACAAGAAACTGTCGACACAGGAGCAACCGTACTGTACCGTACTGTACCATACTGTACCATACTGTACCGTACCTGTACCA